TTTATTTCCTGCTGCTTAAATCTGTGCTGTAGTGCTATAAAAAATTAGTCTCGCGTAGCCAGACATCCAGACTGACGGCTGAAGGTCTGGAATTCATGGCAGCTTTCTTTTTCAAACAACCAATCACAATTCGTTTCATTCAGCAGCACGTTTCGGGGCATGGAAATGTTGCCTCAATAACAGACCGGTGTGTAAAACTCTCTGACGTATTTTAAAGATTCTGTGCCGCGAACTTTAAATATTTCACAGACTTTTGAAAATCCAGCGTTTAGTTGATCCTGATAAGCGCTCGTCGTCACAGTTGTAAACACGACGGCGTTCTTCTTTCGTGAGCGGGTTTGGCATCACGGCATTTTTGTTTCCAGGCGGAACCTTATAGAATGCGACACACACGTCTCCCAGAGTATAATTCATCCAATCCGATGACGACTTCGAAACTCCTGAAGTGTTTCCACTTCTGTGTGCCATATGCATCAGACGTTTAGGCAATGGTCCGAGGGCGTGACGTCTGAGGCGGAGACTATATAAAAATAATGTCGACTTGACTAGGTTAAAGGGGACATAACACACAGTTTTGGCCAATCTCATGTTAATCTAGTAAATAATTCAAATATCTCCTTACTGTTTCCCCCTGACACAATTATGGTAATTACTTTTGCCGATGCTTTGCGGCAAGCTTAAGGCTATTGCGTGCATTTGGACACAGAACTGTTCAGCTGCGCTGACGGCACGCACCATACATGCTGCTGCTATTCATCCAATCCGATGACGACTTCGAAACTCCTGAAGTGTTTCCACTTCTGTGTGCCATATGCATCAGACGTTTAGCCAATATTCCGTGGGCGTGACGTCTGAGGCTGAGACTAATGTTTGATCAATTTAGCCTTCTCAAATCATCACGACTTGCCTAAAATATCATCTATAGATATAAAACAGTTCAAGCATATAACAATGTTTAAACGTTAAACCTAGATAAATGTGCGCAATATCCAATAGTTTGTGCGGAGAGTAGGGATATGCCGGTATCAGATTTTCATGTTGCGATTAATTGCTAATGCTTTTATCACGGTATACGGTAAT